GTGGCTTTCAATAAACTGAAGACCAAACTAGTAAAAAGTCTGGTTTTATTTGCACCAGATTATATTAAAGAATTTATTATCAGACAGATGCCAGTTATATGGTGTGGGTATTGTGTTGTCTAAATTCAGGATGGGAGGAACACCCTATACTGTATCTTAGCAAAAGTTACTAAAGCGGAGCGAAATTATAGCACCATTGAAAGAGAACTAGCGGCCATTATTTATGGACTGAAGAAACTAAGTCATTACTTAGACGACAGAAATTCAAGATGCAAACGGATCATAATCCGTTGACTTTTTTAAACAAATGATAGGATCAAATTCTCGTTTGACTCGCTGGGCATTGTGTCTCCACAGTACAACTTTGAAATTGTTCATAGGCCAGGCCATTACACGGTAATACAGATGGCTTGAGTCGTGCCCTAGTCTAGTGACTGAATATCACTAGTGGATACAAAGTAAAGTAAAAAGTAATGAAAATGGGTGAAAATGATTTTTGTAGAGTTTGGAATTATATTTGTAGATTCAAAATTGTTTGCATTGTGTGTTTCATTTTCAAAAAATTGTTAGAATAAATGCTTATCTTAAGTATTAGCATTGTGTAAAATTTGAGGAATGTGCTTTGTATAAGGCACACATTAGGAGTAGTTTAAATTATTTTTGTTTTATTTGTGCGGTTATGTTATCTAAAAATAAGTGCAGGGTAATGTAACTGGCTTCTCTATTATCACTTAAATGTTTACCACTTGTGTTTTGAAAGCAGTGAAATGTATTTAGAATTTTTCATTCCTTATTCAAGAAAAATTTCTTTATGAGGGGAGGAGTTGTGATAAGGTCACATAAAAGAAGAAGAGACTGAAGATTAATATGGACATGGATGTCTCGTGAGAATAAGCTGAAAATTATTATTTTTTTATCTTACAAACACATTTTCAATAGTTGTTAAAATAGTCTTTATTAAAATAATTAAATCTTTGGCAATGTTAAAAACACAAGCTCGAGAGCCACAAATTGCTCTCACACGTAAAATGTATAGAATTTGATTTTTGATATAGATAGGTTTTTCTCTGCAGAATTGTATGCAGCCATTTTTTTTAGCATTCAATAATTTTATTATTGAATGCTAAAAATTTAGCTAATTTTAGCGGTTTCGGCCACTACACCACAGCATGCATGTGATTAAGGTTGTAGAATAAAATATTAATTAGTACAGTCCACATCAAGTTAATTTGGAATTGTTGTATAACAACGCACACATCGCATGAACATTTCTGGTCAGCGATGGTGGTGTTTGATCTGGGGAAACAACATTTATTGCAAATTTTGTTATGTTATTTAATAATATTTTGTTATGTAAAAGAATATGTCTGAAAATATAAATGGATGATTTTACAAAAGTCTGTGAGCGGCTATTGAGTTTGAACGAAGCTCAGATTGAGAGAAAAAACTTGAACATGATGTTGGGGCATTTAATTTTTGAATTTAATAGTTATAAATACTTTGTTTCTTTGCATACCACCGGTTGAGAATCGCTGCCATATGCAATAGAATCTTGATTATCTGAGGTAACTGGAAATGTATAACCACTTCAGACAATTAAAAATTGACTAAATTTTAAATCTTGCCAACTTTCTCGCCATAAAATTTTGTGAAATTGTGTATTTGAAATTTTAACAAATGCTCAAGTACTACAATTAATAGCTTAGGAAAGTATTTTGTTAAATAAAATTTATTTCCTTCACTTGAGTAATAAATAATCTGTACAAGATTTTATTTTGTGACAAAATGTTTCTGAAAAAAACTGAAATAAAAAGATCCCATCAAAATTGTTGCAATTTGTAAAAGTTTATCAAAATCCTAACATACATTTATTTTTATAAGTGGCCTTTTTTTTTTTTTTTTTTTTTTTTCATTAAAAGCTTCAACCATGGGTAATTTTCACATTAGTTGTTTCCATTTCATCATCATGTTTAAAATCTCTCTTATTCCTGCAATAATTATTATTCTCCGAATTTTGGTATGAATGATTTCTTCTTCACTCAAAATTTAAAAACTAATTTTTCTCTTTGCTACATTATGTATTATACAAAATGTTATCTTAAGCAACGCATCTTTTTATCCTTGAAATGCGTTTATGAATTTATTGTTAATGAGTATCTAAACTGTTGATACTGGTTTCATTTTTTAACCCATGTATTCTCCATCTTTTATCTTAATACACAGTAAAGAGACTATTAAATGACCCCGTAATGGATAAGAAAAGGCAAAAGATCAATCATAAATATTCAATTGAAAGATGGCATGCAGAAAATTCATAAATATTGCTGATTTTCATTGTATCCTTTCTAATGTTTCTACATCTTAATCCCCCAGAGACTATCCTTCAATTGATTACCAACTCAGGTAATAGGGTCTTTACTATATTATGTGCCTGGAACATAATCTTTTTTTTATTTTTTCTCTTTTCTTCATTACATCTTTATACTTATGAATCTGTTTATGTTGTTAGCAACCGAGTATATAAAAATGGTGGATACTGGTATTTTAGTCAGTTTTTGATAGAATAGACTATGAGACATGAAAGCTACCCATAGAAAATTTATAACATATTTCTCTTAAATTTTATTTTAATTCAGTTATCTTTAGTTTCTGCTTATTTTTTATACCTAGCAGGTATCACAAGTTTTTAGATGTTTAACAGAACTTGAAAAAATTACAAACAGCTTCTGTAGTTTTAAAACAGTGCAAAGTCCGAAGTCTGGATAGAGAAAAAATTAGATTCTGAAAGTAGCAGCTTTCTTTATGCTTCATGCAAATGCAGTAGACATTTTTGCATGATGAAGCATTAAGATTGAAGGAATGTCCTGATTCCTAAATTCTTCAGCGCTAAATTATATTATGCAATTATACCATGTTGAAGAAACACAATCATTTGTTAGCATAAATCTGTGTGATCAATAATTTACCTTCATAGCCACCTTTTTGCACAGCATACATCTCAAATCGAAATATTATATCAAAATTCATCGCTGATTTTGCACATACTGAATAACTTATGACCCTGATGCCAACCTGGTGAATAATTTTTTATTATTTTTTGCTTTTATCAACACATGACTGCTGGATAAAGGACTCATACAGTGAAGTCTGAAACAGTTTTTTAAGTATTAGTAATTGAACACCAAACAGCATGGTAACTTTTTATGTCGACTAAGTAGTGGTTACAGACTTAAGCCAACTGTGTTGCAAAGTGTTGAGTTTGTTCACAAGATGAAATTTAACAGAAATTTCTTTCCCTGTGCAAAAAAATTAATTTTGTAAATGATATTTGTAGATCATAAGATTACATTTACCACTGTTTGAATTAAGAATAACTTACTCTGATAAGCTGTCAAGTATATTTTGGAATTTATTTATTCAGAACTCAGAGAAATCTGAAGCATATGCAGGCAATAAAAGTAAGTATAATAAATAACTAATGTAATTCGGGTTTATTTCCTCAGTGCATGATAGCAGCAAGGCAAAATTTAGCGGAACATGTCTTTAGTTACCTTCATCGCCGATAGTGTAGAGCATATTCTAGCTAACTTTATGATAGTAGCCGTAAATTTGAAAGTTTTTAGATAAGGCAAAATTTTCCAGTTAATAAAATTTATTAAGAAATGTGGGGAAGTCGTTATAATGAAAAGGATATAACAGTAGTATTCCATTGCAATGACAATGTCTGAATAATCAATCAACTAATGAATAGCAAATTCTGTAGTATGGTGCTAAATCCAAAAAGCATTGTTACCAGTAGGGAAGAAAGTAACAGAGAGGCTGTTGAGAACAAAAAAAAGTGTCAATTGAAGAGTTAGAAGGAATTTTTGACACAGTGATTACAAGACTTGAACAGTGAAACTTTGCAACTGAAAAAGAAGTTATGTCTGCCTGTAAAATTAAAAAGGAAGTATTAGAAACATGAAACATCTTAAACAACTTACATTGAAAAAAATGCTTAATAATTGGTATGGTATTAAATAATCATAGAAGAGTTAGACCTGATTCTATGCCTCCTGATTCTTACTTAGTGACTGTCATTGGTGAAACAGAAGCAAACCTCATTACTGTACACCAACCTAATCATCTAATAGACTCTAGCTAATAGACTCAATATCATAGTAGTCAGGGCATTTGTTACTTTGTGTCAATGACAGTCTTAATAAAAGATTATATGACTGCAAGATGTTTTTAGCCAGTTTTATAGAAATTGTTTTTGTTGATACTGGAACTTCTGAAGCACCATGCTTCCTCTGCATAGAGCGAAGTTACATTTTATGAGACTGCCACTACATGCTTTTGGATGCATTGATCTAAGCATACGGACATCAGTCTAGATTTAGGAATATTTCTGTGATTCCTTTCCCATTTCCATGCTCTTTTTCAATTCATCTTCTTCATATTCTTTGACAACAAGACTTAAAACAAAACCCTTCATAAAACCGGGTATTTGCAAAACTTGACTTTGAGATCACCAGCCAGAGGTGTCTCCAGTTGCATGCTTTTTCTGAGAGTTTTAAAAAAAAATAGTCCTAGAAAGACAAGTTTCCTACAGTGACAGAGTGCCAACTGTTGAGTTGTGTGTTGTTTCCTTCCTTTTTACCTCACTAACATATCATGTAAAAAATTTGCATTTATTATATTTACGTAAATTGTTCAACTGTATATTCCTTGCATTTTGCATAATTATGTAACCATGTCTTTGTGATGATGCATTTTTCTGTGTCAGCTAGTGAATACAGTCCAAAAAGAGGGTTTTTTTTTTTTTTTTTTAACAAATGGGAATTTTATTTTTTCATGCTGTGCTCTTTTTACATAAAACTCAATTGTTTTTTCATCTGTTTTAGTAATAATTTCACTATATCTCTGTACTTTTTTTTTTTAATAGGAGTAGATAAAAGATAAAATTGATTTTCTAAACTGTTATGTAAAGCTGTATTATTTTTTTTCCTTCCTTGCAGGCTGCTTTGTCAGGCTTCGAGTGGCATCCTATGCCGCCTGAGAATGAAAGGCAATTACTAGCATCTACTTATGATAAACCTAATTACAGCAATATTCCTATATTAAAGGAAACTGTCTGCTAGAATAAAATAAATCTGCATTTATTACTAATAAATTTTTAATGTGGTACATAAGAAATCAGTATAAATAAATAAGAGTTGCATAGTCTATTTTTTACAACAAAAATATTTTTAAGATGCTCTTTATTTGAGTTTATTGGGACATGTAAATATTGATTATATTAATTAGATTATTTATTTTATTTTACTAATTAGGTATTAAGAAACTTTAAAAGTCCTTAAAATTTTGGTATCCATATATAGCTAAAGCTAGTTATAAATTATGAAATTTATCTGACAGTGCTTATTATGAATGAAAATGCACTTTGTATTTTACAGTCTGAACTTTTGTATGTAAAACATCTCTTTCTTAGCAATATTATATTTTTCATAGAAATGCAAGGTCAGGATGAGTGTCTTAGTTAACTTCTTGATCTTTTAATCAAGTCTACTAACTTTGTTTACTTTGATTGATCATTTCTTCATGCCAAGCCTTGTGTTACTCTTTTGTATTTGCCTTTCAATTTAGTCACCATTGATAAGTAATAATCTGTTGTGCAAAAGCAAATTCTTATTTATACATAACTTTACTTTTTACCAATTCAAAATTGCAATGTAGATAAATTATCAGACCGTATTCTTTTCTTTACAGATATTTAAGATTCTTCAGGCAACTCTGACAGAGTTTTTTTTTTTTTTTTTTTTTCCCTGTGGGGGAAAGGGGTCAAGTCAAAATTGACAGTGTTAGATTTCTTTCATTTTCAAACAGTTGAATTAAGTAACTAATAAAATTATTATGTTAGTATTATAATGTGTAATAAAGATCGGTTTCAACCTTTTTGAAGCATTTCTCAAAGTTTTTTTAGAATAATTTTTATTTGTTGTCAGTATAAATTTAATAATGGTAACTGAATGAGATAAATGTATGCTTTTTTACAATCATTACATAAAACATTCACTAAACCATATTTTAGATTGCACTTTTGTTAAAAGTGAAAATCCTGTTTGAATTTTTCACTTCCTTATATTAAGTAAAGGAAGCATTGTAAATTTGCAAAAACTTTCGAGTATCGCATTTCAACAAAAATATCCATTTTAGCTGCTGTCAAATTTCAAATTTTTCCAATAAAGGACTCTTTTTCCAAAACAGATTTTAAAATGGATTCAGAAGAGATTTTTTTCATGATATATGCCTGCAGGCACATATGCATATGTCTCGCATAACTCAAAAACAAGTAGCCATAGATTATTAAATTTTGGCTAGTTGTGACAACTAGATGTTATAGTAGCTTCCCTTTTTCATTACTATCAGTCGCACCAAACACATATATATATATATATATATTCTCACACTGCTTCCCGGCTCAGTGAGCTCAGCATTTTTATACTTATGTTTTATATGTTGCTAAATTGAGCATTTTTTGCTTTGAAAGTGACTGAATTATGTTGTTCTTAAGTTTCAGTTAAGGTTTTTAATGCCTTTAATTAATCTGCATGCTATAGTTGTAGAATCATAAAATTTTTTAAAGTAATCCTTCAAATGTAAAGGCCTAGCACCACTTTACGTTTGAAACTCTTAGTAAAATAGTGAATTAAGTCAATTGGTGCACAACTTCAGTTTCTTTTTGCCCAATAGGAACAAAAGTTAACTTTCAGTTTTGTAGGCCAAGAATTTTCTGTTTCTACTCGTTGGTCAAATTGCTTGTTTTTGGCATCGAAATTCTAATTTTAATTATAAAAAATTTTTATTAACTGTATTTGGTGTTGGGTGTTTCTGTATTTTATAATTTTTAATGAAAGATGTTTTGAGTTTTTATGAAATTTTGCCTTGTTGCAAAGTGAGTACTAATTAATTGAGAAATATATCTCTAATGAAAATCAAGGAAATAAGTTTAAATCAAGTACAGCAAAAAATGTATATACTTCACACAGTATAAAGAAGGTGAAACTCATATTACCACTTTTTGTTGTATTATTTATAGAGATCACTGCTGTCATCGTGAAAACCATGAAACCATTTAACCATGAAAGCCATAAATTATATTTTATAATTTGAAGAGTAAAATATAATCGTTAGTGAAAAGAGTCCAAGAATATTAGTTAACAGAATATTCTCCCACAAACATAAATATTTGTGTAAATAGTTATAAACATAATCCATTGCATAAAAATGTAAGTTTCCTCCTCTATTACAAGGCTTAGCTTCCTTGCAAGGCATATAAATGTTTACATTTGGAATCATCAAGACAAATGTAGCACCATCTAGTGATAGTTGCATTTTTGGACCCATATGTCTGCTATGGAGTTTCACTTCCTTCTTTATCCTCTGTGATATAATTTAGGCTATACTAGAAAGTCACATGGTGTCCACATCAGATATTTTATTAACCAAAAAAGATACTAATCCAAGGGGTTTTACTTTTTATTTATTAACAAATATATTTTTTGTTTGTTTATTATTTTTTTTATTTTATTTATTTATTTTTAGGAGCATAAAGCAAGCATTTGTAAAATGAGATATACATGTACATGTTAAAAAATATTTTCTTTTAATACTTGTGAGATAATAATAATCTGGTAATAGAGTATTTAAGTGTTGCATAAATTAGTAAATAAAAGCTATTAATTCTTCCTAAATGTTACAGCAAAATAAATTTTATAATAATAAAATTGGAATCTTTGGGAATGTAAATAAAATTTATTCTGTGTTTTTCTCCATTTTTATGGCACTTGGATAAAATAGAAATATTCGAAAAATATGCAGTTACTGTTTTAGTCAGTAAATCAGTAATTTTAGAGATTCTCTTTCTGTGAAAATTATCAAGAAATTCTCAACTAAGTCTCTGATGAAAATAAATTCAAAGCTAAAAGGACCTTTATTTTTGCATTTTTAATGAATTATATTCATTGCCATGGATATTTATTTCCTTGGCAGTGTATTATTTTTTCCTTCCTAAATGTGTAAAACATATAAGTGTATTATGAAAAATACATACCTCAGATTTATACCATCATCTTGGAGTAATCCAGTTTTAATACATGGTTTGAATTTTTTGTGGTCTTGGTATTTCAACTGTGGAAAACTTCTGCATTTTTAATGTATGTATAATTTTTTCGGGCAAGAAAAAAGGCTCTCCTTATAAATAATTATAACTAATCTGTATATAAAATGATAGACTGTAGTAATGAAAGGTTTATATTTAATTTTTTATGAAATAAAATTAATTTCTTAGAAAATTTACTTATGATTGAAAGATCAGATGCTTTTCAGCTTATTTTGAATGAAAACAAAATATTTCTAATAATTTTCAACACTGCTATTTTATTTACTATCTCAGTGCATATGCAGTTTTGCAAAGAATAATTCTAATGGAAGAAAACTCAGAATGCAGATGCATTTTTATATTGTTGTCTTGTTTTACTAGTGAAGAAGTTTTATTTTGATAAATCAAAATAATTAGTTTCAGAAAGACTTTTATCATATATTTGTTCTTATATACTTCAAAATATTTATTGTCATATGTATATAATTGTATTGAGAAATTCATATGTAAATTGTTTGATGTTATAAGTTATGAAAAAAATTTTATCTGTTGCTTCTTTGGTGTGTAATCACAAGAAATAATGCAAGGAATATTTTATACTTGTTGACTGTATAGATCTGAAATTCTGTGTGCCAGAAATAATTTATTTTGTGCTGTTTTGAAAGCTGCTCATAATGTATTTTTCTACTGATATATTTTATTTGTCTATATTGATAAATAAATAAATATTGTAAAAATTAATTAAATCTCAACTTTATTTTTGCAACCATTTGTTTTCTTTTGAGCATGAATCCATTAATTCCTTTTCTTTATTTAAGTTTAATAGTAAAATCCATTATTACCTATTTAAATTCTATGATAAGTGAATGACTTGCAAATGTAGAAAGAGATGAATGTCCTTCAGTTAACATTTTCATTATTTCAAAAATGAAGAAGGTCTCAAGATCTGACAGAATAATCCAAGTGTCATTACAAGATCCTTTTTCTGAAATTTGGTTCTAATTTTTAAAGCCAGACTTTTAAACAAGTCGGTTTGCTATTTCACTAATCATTAGCTCTTTAAAATGTTTAACCATATTTAAGCTTTGCAGCAACTATTAAGCAGATCTTACAGAGCCAGCATATGATGCTTCTTTCCATTCGTAACACCTTGTTCTCTCAAAGCGTCCTGTCTCTCACATTATATTAAAGCATCAAGTTTCAAAAGGTAATAATAATAAAAATACTCATAAAATTTTAGCGTTTCGTTTTATTAATTATAAAATTACATAGATTTCATTTTTAAGTATTCGTCCTGTCCCATTATAAAAATTTTAGTCCTTAAAAATCTAGTTCTAAATTAGTGTTCTGGAAAATCCCTTGCATTATATGTCTGTTCTCTGCATTTTCACCTTAACTTATATAGCAGTATCAAGATTAGCAATATTTTACAAAGTCTACTTATCATTAACTGTATGGTAGCAGACAAATATTAATACTCTAGGTAGCACTGGTTCACTTCAGCAAATGTCCATCTAGATCTTCATACCTGAAATTGTTTGATTTTTGAGTTTCCTAAAATCAAACATAATCAGAGATCACTCACTGTAATAGACGGTTTTAAAAATTGTTACCAAGTAACCGTATGAAAGGTGCCTGAAGAAGTATTCTGCTTCCTGTGCGTGCCTTAGACATCTTCTTCAAGCAATGTTCTGTAATTATGACTAATATTTTCAGCATTTGTTATGAAGTATTTTGTATCCTTTTGTAGTTAAAGTATAATTGAATTTAAAAATTGATTTAAAAAGCTGGTTTTATGGATTTCTGTTCTGTTTCCATTATCACAGATTATAAATGTATCAAAATAATTTTAGCTATTTTTGCCCCATTCTGTAATGATGGAAAATGTGCCACTAATCAAAGTTTGTGCTTTCGGTAGATACAAAATTTTCTAGCATCACATAATAAAAATCGTGTTACGATAAATTCCTCTCGTAGGTATATAGGGACAGTATTAAATTAAGGAATTTGAAAGTTTCAGTAGTGAGATCTTTTTTTTGGGGGGGACGTTTTACTGAATGAAGTAATTTACTAATTTGTTCTAATATATTTTAAAACAATGCTTGAATCGTGTGTATGGTGTTCGTCTCCTTATTCTGCATAAAAGAATGAGGAAAATAATTTCGTACGGACCAACAGTCCATCAAAAGAGATTATTGTGAATGTCGACCATTGAAGGCGTTGATATCAGAAAATATTGCTTGTGGACTGGAGGAAATATTGAGTAATATGAAAATTAAAAGGTCAAGGAGATAGCAGGGAGATTACATCATCTGAAACAACTGTTTTGCGCATTTTATATAAACAAAATTTCTACAAGATGGGTACCATAGACTTGATATGTAAATAGATTTAAAAGTTTCCGACATAATATACTTCCTATAGAAATAATTTTATCCTTATGTTTTGATACACTTTTTACATCGTGATATTTTTGGTTAAAATTCGTGGAATGTCGAATCGCGAGTTCTCTGTGATAAGTGCATTTAATTAGTATTGCTAAAGAAGCAGGAAAGAAATCTGGGTTTAAGGAGTTTGACTACTCTCCTTACAGCTCAGATTTAGCTTTAAGTCAAACTATTGTTATACCTTTTTCTTTTAGAATTATATTATGCGGAAACTTTTGAATCTACCCATGTATCCTAGTCTTTTTGTGAAATATATGGTTAAAACCAGCCACAAAGTACCCAAGGCTTGGCTAAACCACAGAAAATAACCACGTGTTTTCATCTTGCTATTTTTTATATGTCAATATCTGTTTATTTCTATTTGTTGTAATTATTTTTATTTTACCCAGAATTGCAATTTGAAAGCAGTAATTGCTGTGGCACTTCATTAGAAGAGGCCAGAATTTAAAGAAAAAAATTTTCAATTAAGTTTTTGGGTAAAATTCAATAGCATTATATAATAAAAACTGAAAATGCTGTAAAAGGTGAACTTTAAAGGGATCATAAAGAAATTAAGCATTAATAGCTAAAACATTTCTTAGAGAAATATGCAGATGAGCAGACTGACAATGTCAACTTAAATAATAAATAAATATGTGAAAAATATCGAATGGCTTTTACTTAAGAGTCTAGGGTTAGTATTTGAGCAATTGCAAAACAAAATAAATCTTGACAAAAAATTTATAGGAATCGATTAAGTATAAAATGTACGTGGTTGCAAATGATTCGATAAATTTATTGGATAATTACAAGTACAGATGTCAGGAAATCAGTGATATTTTTCCGTTTTCTAACTCATGAATTTTTTATTCTTGCAGTAATAAAAGATAAAAACCTAGGTCCTTCAATATAACCTAGGTGGGAACTCTCTCATCAACCCGCGTGTAGAAAACAAATATATCTTAACTACAGATCCGCAAATCGATATTTGTTGCTTTGACTGCCATTGATGCTTTTATTCATTACTGATTTTGCTTAGCTTAACTGACTCAGTCTATTTATTAATCAATATACTGTATTTATAGAACATTCTTGAAAAAATGAAAGCTATGGCAATAAATTAGTATCAGATTGATAGTTGTGCTTTATACCAATGAATTATTTATTTATCCTAAACAATTCAGAATTTTTTAAAAACCAGTTAGAATGTCAGAGCGTATGCCTCATTTACGAGGTCTATTATCATGCGATAGTCTCTCCCCCGCCCCTAAAAAAAAAAAAAAAAAACCTATCTAAAAAAATTCTACTAAAAACATTTAGAAATGAGGCTGTAATTATATACGCGACTCTTTTTCAAAATCACAAATGGAATGCTGCGTAAGTTTAACTAGTAAAGGAGATACAAAAATGAAATAAATGCATTCTTTAAAATTTTCATTTTTTAAGAACATATGTGCACTATGTGCATGTAAACCTATTGAAAATATTTAGAAAAGAGGTTGTAACTGTACATACTATCAAAAAAAAGTTGCATAATCCTAGTCAGAGAGAAAAAGAAAACCACTGAAATATTTACAACAATAAAAAAGAAGATAATAAATTAGGTATTTTTAAAAGGTCATTTTGATTTGTGGGCTCCAGTAATGCTTTGTAAAACAGTTCAGTTTCATATGTGTTATAAGTTTCATGGACTTGAATTCTTTTAAAACCCAAGTAAAACGTCTTTTATCCAATTCTCATTTAAATAATAATCTACTTCTTGCTTCTCATCATGTAGCTTTTGATAAACAATGTATTTCTCACTCTCTATCTTCAAGTCATCTATCAGTTGCCACAAAGTTTTCTCCTAATACTTTAGCCAATTCTACAGCTTTCGTAATCAAAAGAGCTCTAGACATAGGAATATTTTTTATTGTCATTGTTTGAAACCATTCTAGAAGAGCAGTTTCAACGTCTGTCGATTTTTCATCCTTTTTCCGCTTCTTTGTATTTTTTACTAATTCTTAATCAGTTTGATTTTCTTTGTTTAAATAAACGGCACATTGCTATTTAGGAAAATCCTATTTTAAATGCTGCTTCTCTTTAGCTGCACTTACCGAAAGTATCATAATAATTCACTAATTTATCCTTTTTTTTCCATGCTTAAATCATTTCATTTAGGCAGTTAGTTATAAGTCATGCATACAACAAATATTATGAAATGTTTTTTCCAGTGATTTGTTCAAATTCAAAATTCCCGATTCTAGATAGCAGGGAGATTGCACTTTGTGTGTCAAGTCGTCATCTCACTTCATGCTTATAATAGACGTAACTAATGCTTTCTATTTTTTTCCCTTCAGCCTACAACGAGCACTCCATTTTCCTTTCTAATAAGATATACAATGTATGGTAATCAAGGAGGCATTTCACGATGAGTTCTGAGAATACCCTGCAAGTTTAATGTGTGTATGCCCTTCCACCTCCTGTCAGCTGGAGTTTGAAAAATCAGAAAATTGCTAGTTAATCGTAAGATATTATGTCTCTCTCGACTCTAGTTCTGAAAAAGAGGCAACTGTGTCTGACAGGGACAAGGGAAGGGTACCCACGAACCAATCTGAAGTACACAAGGAGTCTAGGTTTTAACTACACTTGACGAAATTTCTACTAAACCCATTTTATCAAGCACTACATAACTGAAACATAAATGAATGGACTACAAACAGATCTTATTAGAGAAATAATAAAGATTTTATTAGCCAAAGACAGCTTATTCTCGACCTGAAGCATTAACTTTTTGCCAGTTTGAGTTTTATAAGCGGCGGAAGTGATTTTTAAGATATTTCTACCGCCGTCTTACCATGCCTTCGTGGTGCAGTGGTCAGCACACTCGGCGTATATTCGAAAGGTCTGTGGCTCCGAGGGCAGGGCTCATTATTCATCTCTTCTGCTTCCAAAAAAAGTTAAATAAACAGCGGTTTTGCTATTGATTAGTATGCATTTATTTTGGCTCTTGGAAATCTGAACGTAATAAACGGCAGGTACTGTACTAGGTTAATCTACTAGTATTTATCGCTTATGTTTCTGATCTCCAAAATCGATTTATGTTATAAACAGCATGTTTTAATATTTCAATTCGTAAGATGAGGTTTGAATCCTTATTGCAAAGATGCTGACCTGTTTTCCTGTATACGTATTATAATTCGCATTCCATTTACCAAAGTGAATTTTTTATAGGATAAGTACCATAAGCTTATACTCGGGAACGACTATGATGCTTATCAAACTCTTAAGATTTGATTCTCATTTAATTCTTTTGCGATGATGAGATAAATTTTGTTAATAAATATTCTCTGCTCAAAAT